TTTTTTTTTCTCTCTCTCTCCTTCTCCTTCCAAATTTGTTTACTTGAAGTTTTGAGGGGCGAAAGAAATTGATGATTTGAGCTGTCAAGGAGTTAACTTGAGCTGAATGGTGAGTATTAAAGTAAGTTTCACCTTATTTGTAAAATTGAGAGAGTGAGTACTTTTAAGTTAAATTTAACTTCTTCTTTTTTTTCTTGTAATTTAAATTGTTTCAATATCAAATTATTCAAGCATAAACTTTTCAATATTTTTTGGAAAATGATGTAGTATCAAAAGTTTAAACAAAAGTATTCTATTAAGTTCAATTGTTAAAAAATAACCATAAACTCTATTTAAATATTTTTATTAATAGTTTTAAAAAACTCAAAATATATAATTTATTTAAGTTATGCTTTCAGTCTTCCTCAGTTTATAATTAAGTTATTATATTTTTAAATTGTAATAAATATATAATATAATTTTTAATTTTAAATTAAGAATTTGTGAGTAGATAAGTAAACTCAAATTCTAGTTTGCTTTTTCACACCAAACTCAATAGTAAATTTTAGTTCAACTTATTTATCGAATTTAACTTAAATAACTTATAGATTAGGTAGTTCTACAAATGTAATAAAATGGAAGAACTGTGATCTAACTTACGAATTTCTTCTCCGTTTGTTCTTCTTTTCTTTAATTATCAATAAATTTATAAGAATTTTAGATGGATTGGAAGAAGAAAAATTTTTTATTTTTACTTTTATTGCATTCTTAAACTCAACACTTTAAGCTTGCTAGCAAGAAATTAAGCTTAAATTCAAGCCTTTTTTTTTTTTTTTAAAGTTTTGATTTGTTTAAATAATCAATTATTTAATTATAAATTTTTTAACCGTTGTGTTCAAATATATTGATGTGGTAAAAGCTTAAACAAAAATATTATATCAAGTCCAATAGTAAAAACAACTATAAAATATATTTAAACATTTTAATTAATAATTCTAAAAAATTCAAAAACGTAATTTATTTAACTTACCTTTTTAACCATATTAAGTTTATAAATTATTGCATATTTAAATTACAATAAAAATAATATAATTTTTAATTTTAAACTAAGACTTAATTTAATAGTATTAAATTGTAACTGTAATTATAATTTTTTTAAAATTTTTTAAGATCTAAAAATTATAAAAACTATATTTAATATTATTTTTAATTAATATTTTATATTTTTTACAGTAATAAAAAAATAAAAACTAAAAACTCAAATAAT